AGAAAAAGATCGGAAGAGGAAGAAAAAATAAAGAAAGAAAGAAATGAGGGAAGAAGAAAGAAGCAGAAGGATTGAAGTAATAAGAAAAAGAAAAAGAATGAAGAAGGAGAAAAAGAAGAAAAAGAAAGAAAGAAAAAAAGGAAGGAAAAAAAACGGAAGAAGAAAGAAGAAAAGGAAAGAAAGAAGAAAGGAGAGGAAGATGAGAATTAAGGGTAGAATGGACATTTCATTTGCAAAAACTTTCCTAAAATAGAAATGGGAAGTTTTTTTGTGGACGGACGAAAAAGGAAAGTGGGAAGTTTAATTGTGGACGGAGGGAGTATTTGTTTAGTATGACTTTTTTCAGTTAAACTGAATAAAATTTGATTGTCAATTAATTAAAATTTGCATTGCATGCTTATACAATGAATTCATATTATGAAAGATTTAGCATGACCAATTTGATGACATCATTTTTGTATTAGTATGCAATACAATTTTTATTTAATTGATCATTGAAATTTATTCAATTTGACCACAAAAAGTCAAATTGAAAGAATATTCTAAGATGGGGTAATATATTTTTTTATGAATGATTTTTTTCACTAAATCAATCAGAAATTGTGACTGAGTAATGCATATTCCTTATCATATTCCAAAGCAATACTTTCAACTTTACATCAAATCTTGTTTTTTTATAAAAAAAACATCAAATTTCGTTATCATCGACCAAAGGTCTATGAGTGTGAGTCTTCATATAAAAAAATGATTTTTTTTTAAAGTAGAAAAGGTAAAGCGTGTGTCCATAGTTTGGCATGACTGCACGAGTCTTTAGAAAAGGCTAAAAAAAACTACTTCGTCTCCGCATTTATGTTACTCAAATTTGTTTACTATTTTCATAGTTAAATTTTATTTACTTTTTTTGCTATTTTGCCAGTATTTGACAAAAAAAATAGTCATGTTACCATTTGTTTTATAGGTTTTTTTACAAAGTTTTTAAATATATATGGAGTGAATGTTATTTTTATAATGGGATGGAGGGAGTGATTGCTTTAAAAACACAAGTATAACTCGTTCGGAATGAATTTGAAAGCACTCTTAGATGTAGAGAATGCAATCTTAGGAAAGAAATGAGAATGAAACTGGTGTTTTAGATTGTGAGATCTAAGGGTCAAGATTTCATCAAAATTAGATGCACCAAAATGATTTGAAAATGCATCACGTCGAAATGCACCATAAACCTTCGAAAATGCACTATCTCAAAATCTGAGCGCAGGAAGCAATCTGAGCCGCACGATGCATCAGATCCGACGGCTAGATTTTATTCTCATTTCTCTCTACAAGGTGCATTCTCACGAGAACCGGCCCCTATTTACCATTAGAATAAATATTTTTATTGTTTTTTAAAATAAATACTCATAATAATTTGCGAGAGAAAATATATACGAACCTTTGATCCATGATATTATTTCCCAATCTCCATAGGTCTATCCAAGAGTGTGTATATGTTTCTCTATATATGCTTATAAACTCGTCAAAAAATTTTAGATTCTGTTTTAAAGTCGTAAATGATCAGATAACATGTTTCTCTATGTATATAAATTATGAGTTGACTTATAAGTTGTTTTTAAGTCAAAAAAATAAATATATCTTATCTACTTATTTTTTAAACTAGTTTTTTTTGTTTCTCAATTTTGACCAAACAATTCACAAAATTATCCTCATCTTTCATTTAAGTCATTTTACTTACACGTTTATAACAAGAAAAAATGAGTGAGAGTATTGTGAATAATTACGGGAAAAGGATGAAGAAAGCGATCTAAGAGACAACAAATACGGAGCATATACTTTCTTCCTATTTTACACAAAAAAAATGTGATGAAAATGGTTTAAGAGATGACAAAGAATAACTGCAAGTATCTGCATTGTGGGTTAGAGCCTAAGACGCACCTGCTAGAATTAATAAAACAATGTCATGTATTGTAACAAATGAATTTGCTCATATAGTATACCTGAAATTCGTTTTGGGACAGAGGGCGTAAAACATTTCAATGTTTTTGGTTTTGGATATAGTACAAGAAACCCATGCTTATTCCCAACCAACCACTCTTCTTAGCCTTGTGACCAAAAAAAAACAATGGATCCAAATTCAAAGTTCAAGATTAACTGTAGAATGAAGATGGAAAATTATGAACATCAAGTTACATTTCTTTCTCGTTTTTTTGTGTCAAAACCTCACAGCAGAGATAGCTTTGCGTTGGCACAAAAGATCAAAAGCATTTGAAAACGCAGGAGTTACCTGAACAGCTCAGTCAGTTTTGTGCAATCCGATGTTGAGATCCGACGATATGGATATCAGGAGAGGTAATGTGTGGTGCCAAGCGGCCTTGAAGACACGATTCTTGTGTGCGTTCAAGGACTGCAAGGGTTGGTGAGAGTTGTACCTTATATCAAAGATATGAATGGCAGGGTCTACTGAACCGGATGAAATGTACAAGCCATTAGGAGACCAGGATTGCTTTATGAGGGCAGATTGAGATTCGCTTTTTTCTTGCTTCCACCCGAGCCAGTGGACCTCCTTTTTCCCTGCTCTGATGTCAAACAACCGAAGCTGCTTTTCTAAAGTCCTGAAACTCAGAAAACAGTTTAAGAAGTTACAAAATTGGCAACCAAACTTCTTTTTTTTTAATTTTCTATGGTGTAAGGAGGGCTAGCTTTTAGCCGGAGTGTTTATAAGACCTTTTTTTAGTAGAATAATATGCAAAATAAGTGGAGTAAGTGGCCAGGCCTGGCCTCACATGCACAGGACTAGCTTTCGGGCTTCCCAAGTTATGCATATGTAGCTCGAGTGATTATCATGCACATGATGATATGTACACATAAGCATTTCGTGGATCTTGTTTTTTTAAAACATAAAACTCGAATAAGGATCAAACTTTTAAGTCATTCAACCTTCATTTTTTCCCACTTGTGCACGGTTACGGGTTTCTTGCCAATTCGGTCCTTCTAATCACCTATCCGACCAGTTTTCATACGATATTTCGTTGATTTCGGCTAATTAATGACAGAAAAAAGACAAACTTGGTACGAAATTCATAATAGTGCACCAAGAACAGAAAAAACGAAGGTTGATGAACGATGACCAAAACTAGAAATGGCTTAATAGTTTTGGACTTGTGTAAGAAACTGTGGCAATTCACTAAACACATGCATGGAATGGAAAAAAAGGCAGTAAGGACAAGCTGTATTGACATGTTTACCCTGACTGAACCATGAAAAGATTGAGGTCACATGGATTGGGTAGAACACTCATGCATTTGCTTTCTAATTGATGTTTGTACTCCACAGTCTCTGCTTGAACATCAAATCCAACTATCCTTTTGTCAGTGCCAACTGAGATCACAATTTTCTTCTGCTGCATACCGGCAACTCCCATTACAGAAGAAGAATGAATCCTACTATGTAACACATTGGGCTTCCATGAATTCACTCGCTCTTTTTCTAACCAAAAGATTACAGCGTGATCATCACCGCACGTAGCAAAAGAGTTGTCTTCCCAGGGCATGAACGTTATGCAGTTGATTACACCCTTAACATGTGGGTTCTCTTCCAAAAACCTTACTCGTGAGTTCTGTTATGCATTGGTGATATCAGGTTGTAGTTGATATTACCGTTCTGATTCAACAAGTGTAAGTATGATGCACATATGAAATGTACTAAACACAAACAAAACTACTTATTCATGCATGGAGTTCATGTGCGTGTGCAAACAAAGGACTAATCGTAGAATTTTCCCTAATAATAAAAAATAATAGTGATTTCAGGTATTTAAAATTGATGCTGTTTCATTTTTCTACAAATTGTTGAAGTAGAATACAAACATCAAGATTGAAACTCAACTAAATTGAAATCTTAATTTAATCTTCAAAATGAACATAAGAAAGAAGTAAGCTGACTACGGAGTGCTTTTTTTCTCCTGTCCAGAAAGTCTGACCTTCTTGGCCCAATTACATAAGGGCTGGGCTCCAAGCCCATTAGTCCGTAGGTCTGGTTTCCAAGTCTGGGATATCCACTAATTATGTCTGACCAGATCACTTAGGATCTGAACCAAATCTCAAAAATGAGAAAAGAATTGAATTTAGCATGGACCAATCTCCATACTTCAGTACTTCACTAGTTCTCAATAAAAATATTACTCAAGGGATATTTTATGTTGGCTCATCGATAATTCAATACTCACCACTACATGGATATGAAGTGTATCTGCAAGTAAACATTGCTATTTCTCATCAATGGATGTAACACATAAAAAGATTTTGATGGCCATACCTAATTCCATGCATGAGATGTCATAATTGTATATTATCATACATTTATTTGTACTTGTGTTAGTACAGTGAAATAATCATGTAATTAATTAATAATACCTCTTTCTGTTCATTAAGATTCAATATTGAAATCTGAGAATCTCCACCATCAGCAGTGTAAACAGATATAATGGATTTCCCGTCTGGATGCCAGGCAACATCTTCTGCCCACCTCCTTTGTTTCGGTGACAGGCCAATATCAGTACTAAGAAGTACTGCACTTGATCTGCATTCTCATAAGACAAGTAGCTTAGTCTTAAACCAAAATAAAGAAAAATCAGACGACAAATTGCTAGAGGTATATTTGGCTCATAGGTGTTAACGGTACTTTTATTAAATACATAGTATTAATAATAAAAGTAATAGTAATAATAATAATAAGGGTATCTTTCTCAATAAAAAAAATTAGAAAGAAAAAATGAATACTTAAATTAGCTTTGCTAGAAAAAATCACCAGCAGTTCAGTTTGGCATACCCTCTATCCTCAAGTTGCCACAAGTTGATTGCTCCATCCAGTGCACTGCAGTTGTACATGTAAGTGGTGCTCTAAATAAGTAAGCGAGCAAATACAAGACGAGGGAACTGGGAAAATATCCAACAAAAGAAATATGATTACTGCATGAAAAGAATGTTAAAATGGGGAAGCCAGGAACTCATGAAGAATGGGCTTGGCCCAACTCATGGAGTCTTTTCCCTAGAGCATGTTTGTTTACTTTTAATATGAGAAAGTTTAAGGTATGATTTACTTTGATGATATTGATAACATGCTTTACCGGTGAAAATAAATGGTGACATTGTAGAATGAAAGTAATTGACGAGGGGAGGTGTGAAACAGATTACACAACGTAGCTTTAGTTTAACCTCTGAGTCTCAGTGCAGCAATTTTTTAAGGCCATGTTTCAAGAACTGTTTGTCCCCCCCCCCCCCCCAAAATAAGTGCCTGTCTTTAGAGGTGAACTTTTAGTTTTTAGTAAAATTCTGTAAAGCGCATAATCAAGTGGTTTTGGGCCCTGTTTGTCAATAAACTATTAGTAGTTGCTCCCTCATGAACAATTTTCAAGAATGTGAAAACTGGGTGGTTGGTATTTATGTAGAGATAAGCATAACAGTGAGGACCACATAGTTATTCTATGAAAGGAAATGGGCAAATTAGTTTTTGGGATGTATAAAAAAGGAAACAAGCAATTTAAATTGGGACAAAGGAAGTAGATGTTTGTGTTAGTTGTATGAGCAGATGGTAGTGTCAGCTCTTCAAGAAAAGTGTGTGATAAAATGAGTTTGTATCTGGGGGTTTTCTTGTAAGAAGAGATTTTTTGGGACAAAAAATGAGTTTACTTTAAAAATAAGAACTCCGTAATAAGGGTACATGTGATTAAAAAAAGTCATCAAACTTGTGTAGATTTAACTTGATACCAATCATGACGAACTAATTCTATTAATCGTGCTTAAACTGAAACTTGAACTATACAACAACAACAACCCAGTTAAATCTCACAAGAGTAGGGTCTGGGGAGGGTGTGTGTACGCAGACCTTACCCCTACTCGAAAGTAGAGAGGCTGTTTCCAAAGAGACCCCCGGCTCAACGTCGAAAGTTGCATTGCTTGACTAACTGCTACTTCATTAATTAAAGAAGCACAGACAGTTTAGAGATCCATTTTGATTTATTCCATCACACCCCAAAGCCAAAAAATGGTGAAACTTGAACTATAAAAAAAGAATATTTTTTTATTTGTTAAAAAATCAGAAAAGGTTGTCTTGTAAGACAATGAAGGCATGAAGCAAGCTCTAACTACCTGGTGGCAAAGAGTTTCTCATTACATGGACTCAAGACAAGACTTCTCATCTTTCTCTTGTGCTGACAAGATATAACAGCAGATGTCTGGCAATTGATTGTAGATGGTGAAGAGTAACAACTAATTGTTGGAATTAAATCTTTCTTCTCTTTTTTATCTGTACTAAGAATAATATATAAACATCTTAATTCAGTAAGTTAATATTTATTCAAATCTCTACATCACAAGGACTGAAAGTGGGAATATTACCAGGAATTATTGTTGCTCCCCTATCTTGAGCATCATCAACTCCCTTTTCATTTTGTTTTTGCTTAGTTTTATCTCCTTTAAGATTGTCCACGAACGATTCACCGGCAGAACAATTAGAACTGGTTAAACCTTTAGATACAGACTCTACTGCCACCTTATTTGGTTCATCGTCTTCTTGTTTGACATCAAGAATTACAGAAGGTGGTTTACTCTGAGGCTGGTTTGGAGAAGAAGTTTCCCTCTTCCTGAAAGTAATATCGGGTTTCGTAATTTTTATGAAAGGATTACTAATATTAAGGTCAGGATCAAGTCTAGGTTCTTCTGTCTGGGTTTGGGACTTCCTCGCTCTGTTCTTGCTCCTTAGGAGAACCAATTTCTGTTGTGATTCACGTAACCTCTTTTCTTCTTCTTCAAGCTGCATAAAGCATCAAATATATAAATGAAACGTTCGCTCAGGGTCCCAATAGAGCATGAAATCATCTAAAAAAACAGACCAACAAAGCACCACCTTTCCTCCTTTAGGTATTATATTTTTGGCTGGCTATGCTAGAAAATCACTTTGGGCCAAATCAAACAATGAAAAAATGACAGCTGCATAAATAGAAAAGATGTCTTTGAAAACAATACCCTACAAATATCATTTTTTTTGCCATATTAATAAACAAATTCAAACTCTTAACATTCCTCCAGTGTCAAGTTTCTCTCACATTTTTTTCAGGAAAATGCAATTATTCTACTGTAAGGTTAAAATCTTACTCACACTCACTCCAAATGATCCTCTAATGCTCTAGAATTTAATCAAGGTTCTCAAGTATTACAACACAGTAACAAAATCAGTAAATAAATAGTAAAAATAAGAAGATAAATTTGCTTGTGTTTAGAGGAAAACCTCGTTTTTGTAGTAAGCCACTCGTTTGTGGAGATATTCAACTTCCTTAGAACGATGTTCAATGAGAGCGATGAGGGCTTCCTCTTCAATGTCCATAGCCTGCTGCTCATCGGAGGCTCCGGTGTCCAACTCGCCGTCAACGGGCTGCGCCTCCAGCCGCCGCCGCTTGCTTAATGGAGGCGCGTTCATTTCTGTTTTCAATGTTCTGGCTTCCCTCCTTCACCAGCGAGCTATTAGGCTTGTTTGGCGATGAACATTTAGGGCGCTTGATCGGTCTAAGCCGGACCGGAAAGAATCAAACCGGATGTAAAACCCAATAGAACAAGATCATGGATAGAAGATCAGTTTTAAACATAGATTTTGAACCGAACTGGTCATTGGACCAATAAAAATATACTACTCCCTCCGTCCCCCTATTTTTGTCCACTTTTGACTTTTGAAACTGTTCATCTAAGTACTTTGACTCATCAAATTCTCTCAATGTGTAAGCTTAAATATAATCATGTGTGATCTTGTTTGATTTATCTTAACATATAGATTATTAATATATAATTTCTATAATTTTTTAATATAAAAATTACAAGATAAAATGGATTAAAAAAGTACATTGGATGATGTGTAAAAATGAAAGTGGACAAATACTCTTGGACGGAGGGAGTACGTACTATGTATTCGTAATTACTTTTGTTCAATTAATTATTTTAGGTTTTAATTTGCACTGTGCAAATAAAAAATGACAAACTAAAAAATATAATACGGAGTACACAACATGGATAACTTCTATGCATTATTAGAAAAACGAATGTGAAACAATTGTTTCTGAATTGTTGGTAAAAATTAATCAATATAAAAAAAATTTAATTAAATAAATTTATACATATTAAAATAGAGCATGAACGTGTAATATCTATCATAAAAAAATAGAATTGTGTATTTGGCTTTTTAGGTCAAATATGGTTATTAGGCCCAATGAGTCCAAATTTAAATTATATCGCGTTTGGACTTGACCAAAAAGTGAATGCCTATATTTTTTGGACCAAGATCCAACCCAAAATTGATTTGGTCGAGTTTGGTCTCGACTTAACATTCTGGTTCAGTTGATTTTTCGGTCTGAACCTAAATATGAACAACCTTAATGAACATACGAAAGGACTATGCCCGAATGTTACTACCCTGAGTCCAGGAGGACTTACGCCGCCTAAGAAGAGCATGTGCCCGAAGGAAGGATTATACCTGGATGTTACATTCTTACGGGAGGCAAACTCAACTACTCGCCACGTCCGAAGGGCTTGCGCCGCCTAAGATGACGCTGAGCCCAGAGGAAGGATTATACTCGGATGTTACGTTCTTCATGAAGGCTAACTCGATTATTCGCCAAGTCCAGGACGGCTTGGACCTCTTAAGACGAGACCGAGCCCATAAGGAGGGCCATATCTGAACGTGCTTCGCGAATGCAGCAACTACTCTCGCTCATCTTTCTCTATGCTAAAGACTCTGGGAGTTGGGGGGGGGGCTTATTATAAATAACGCCAACCAACTAAGTGGACTACATGATTTTTTGGGAGGGACTGAAGGCGACGAGCTGAGCCCGAGGTATTGCCGAGGTGAGCCTGAGGTGATGAGTTGAACCCAAGGTGGTGAGTTGAACCTGAAGTGTCGAGCGGAGCCAAAGGTGGTGAGCTCAGCGTGAGGTGTCGAGCGAAGCCAAATGTGGTGAGCTGAACTTCAGGTATTGAGCATGCGAGTCCAAACTTTACTAAGAAAAGTTCCCTCACCAAGAAGAGTGCTGAGGTGCCTCCCGCCCCATTGAGCTGTGTGCAGGGGTCTTTGTTGAACTAGGCGCTAGGGTGTCCGATTGAGTCGACCCCTATGGGCCCCCCATTGACCCGAACACATGGGCCATTCACCAAGTTTAGGGGTGGCCCGTCGAGCTCAGCGTCAACTAAGCAAAGCCTTCGCTCGCTGCTCTAGAGAGGAGGCATGGGAAGAAAACGACCAACACACAAACAAGACATGGATTGAAATTCTGAAAGCGATGCATGCACATAAGACCCACGCATTTGTCTGGCAAAACCAAGTCAACCACTACACGACAACGCTACGTGTCAATGAAATGTCAATCAATAATGCCTATTACCGTTATAATCAATGATCACGAGGGTAATATAAATACCCCTCTCCATTCACTTGTAAAGAGGATGAAATTTGAAGCTAATATAATCATACCTGCACTTTCTAGCTCTCTACCTTCTATTTTTGCTTGCACATACTCATTACAACCCCTAGTTCGACACAAGGACAATAATTTCTTTTCAGTGTATCAAAAACAATTTGATTGTACACGCTTCGTCCCAGATTGGATTATAATTTTTCAGATAGCTATCGCTCAATAATTTTTGTTTATTTGTATTTTCATTGACTAATTTGATAAAACAAAATATTATTGTCAAATCTTATTTTATAGAACCTAGGGTGTAGTTTTGTTAAAATGTCAATTTCATCAATTATTTTATTATACCAATTTTTAAATAAATCAATGTTTAAAAATGCAAAATTTTATCTTGTAAATAAAAAATTGTAATTCAAATTGAAAGCGAGGAAATACCAAAATTTGTGTTATTGGAACATTTTTAAGCTTCCAATATTTCTTTCCAAGCATGTTTGGACATTTGCGTCCTCCATCTTATCCTATTTCCACGTACGATACTCTACAGTCTACACCATATCTGCTCAGTGTCACCCTCACACTCTTCTTCTCTGCGACCAATTCCTCGATCAATTTATTGCAACAATTTTCAAGGGCGAGATTGGCGTGGAAGGGCGGCATGGGGAACCGCGACCTTTGGGTGCTGGGGCTGATTCTGGCGGCTGCAGTGCTGGTGGAGCCGAAGTACATGGTGTACGATACCTCGGCGGCCATTGTTCCCGGGAAGCTCAATGTTCATCTGGTTCCTCATACTCACGACGATGTCGGTTGGTTGAAGACTGTTGATCAGTACTATGTTGGCTCCAACAATTCAATCCAGGTACCCGACTCGAAATTTATCCATCTCATGATTGAATTAAACTGAATGAATCCATTATCTAGCTTAACTACTCGAAATTGTTAGTCCTTCTTCATTTTCCATATTTCATGTAGGTTCATTTTTTAATATAATACCGAGTAATAAGTTAGCGGTGGGTTTGGGTTCTAGTGACACCCACCTTTGGTACACTAGTGGTGCCACTATCATTTTGGGCACTCCCGGTACTCAGCTTATAAAATTGACGATTCCTACACCCTAACCCACCCCCTAAACCCCCACCCTACCCTCGCCCCTGCACCCCCACCCAACCCCGCCGTAAGCCCCCACAAAATGTGTGGCTAGTATGCAATCACAAAATGTGTGGCTATTATGCAATATGTGCATAATAGCCACACATTTTGTGGGGGGCTTATGGCAGGGTTGGGGTGGAGGTGCAGGGGCGTGGATAGGGTGGGGGGTTTAGGGGGTGGGTTAGGGGTAGGAATCGTCAATTTTACAAACGGAGCACCGGAAGTGCCCCAAAATGACAGTGGCACCGCTAGTGTCACCGTACTCCAGTGTCTCTAGAACCCCACCGATAAGTTAGTCTTACTTTTATTAGTCTATTTTTTTAATAATAATAAGTTAATCTTGCTCTGCAAAAAAAAAGTTAATCTTGCTTTTATTGGCCCAAATTTTTTTAAATGCTCACTCCGTCCTAAAGTGTTTGTCAAGATTTAAATTTTTTTCAGTCAACCACGTTAATCTATATAAAAAAACTAATTTCAATTAATTTTTGACCTCTGGGGTCAATTAACGATTTTTTACCTTTGATTTTTTTAAATGAAAAATATTAATTTTATAGAAAAATATTTATTTTCATTGAATTTTTTATTTAAGTAAAAAATATTAATATTTGACCTATAAAATTAGGAAAAGAACTTCATCCGTATCATAATTTTAATTGAAATTATAGGTTAAAGATTAACCCTAATTGACTGCCAAAAGCCAAAACTTGACAAACACTCTAGAACAGAGTGAGCATTTAAAAAACTGGACCAATAAAAGCAAGAGTAACTTATTATTAAATTTTTTGGACTAATAAAAGAAAGGAATAACTTATTATTATTATTTTAAAAATGGACCTACATGAAATATGGTTCAACTGTGCGAAGAGGAGAAGGTTTCTCACATATATTTAAAAAAAAATAGAAAAAAAATGAAGAGATTAACGACAAAGTTAACATACACACCAACCATGCAACACTAACGTGACTTGGAGCATTCACAGATTTTTTGGATTTGAATGACTAACCTTGCATAATGCATTAACTTGAAGGACCAATGGTGTAGTTTAATCTATACTAATGGTCCAAAAAAAGTAGTTCACGAAAATGTTAAATTGTGTTGTTTTTTAATTTTATTTTAGTCGGCACGGTTCATGTGACATTCGATTTGAATGTCATAGCATGACCCGAGCCTCATATGGGGCTTCATTGGTAAAATTGATGGTTAGTACCCCATAACCCCCTTGCCCCCCCCCCCCCGAGGTCGCCGATTGGCAACAATGAGGGGGAGGGGGGTAGGAACCATCAATTTTACCAACGGAGCCCCGTAGGAGGCTCGGGTCATGCTATGACATTGGGTTCAATGTCACTTGAACCGCACCGTATTTTAGGAGTAGGGATGTGAGTCACTAAAACTTAAAGAAAATATAATTTATTTTTCGTTTTAAAACTTGTGTGCAGGGTGCTTGTGTCCAAAATGTATTGGATTCCTTGATTCCAGCATTGTTGGCGGATAAAAATAGGAAGTTCATTTATGTTGAACAGGCAAGAGTTTTCCCTCCTTTTGTTACTATCTGTTTTATTCTTGCTCATTGGTAATATATGCATATGTTGTTACGTTACGTACATTCTTAGGTTATGCAAATTTAATGCCATTGTAGTTTTTTTCTTTCTATTAGCATTATTGCTGTTATTTTTTGAGGAAATTATTGTCATTGTTATTATTATTGTTGTCATTATTATTATTATTATTATTATTACTATTATTTTGCAGGCATTTTTCCAGAGGTGGTGGAGGAACCAAAGCCCGAAGATGCAGAATACTGTCAGGGAGCTCGTCAACTCCGGTCAACTTGAATTCATGTATGTAACTTATTATTCTTATAATTTAATGTTTTAGAGAACTGATTTTAACTGATGTCTTTGCTGTTTGCATGCCTGCCTCTTACGAAACCATAATAGTTTACTTAATTATGGTGGTGGTAGTTGCCCCCCTCACCTTCCCGATTTTTGTCCATTATATTATACAAGTAAATAATTTAAAAGAAAAATTTAACTTTGCCACTCATTAAATTGGGGAAAGGAAAGTCATACTCCACCCAATGCATCAGCTCTGTCCATCATTGTTTGGTGTAAATGAGCGCATAAATGACAAAGCCAAATTAAGAGAGTGTCACGTAATTATATACATGTTGGTTATGAGAAAGGGTACGAGAGGCTGCTTCTTCCATGACTCTAATCCGCGACCTCAAGTTCACATAGCAACATGTATACCAGTGTGCCAAGGCTCTGTTTCTTGTGATAAATGTTGAATATGAATATGAAATCAAATGTTTAATGATACTTTGTTTTGGCTACCTGTTGCTGGGGTATTGCACACAGAAATGGGGGTTGGTGCATGCATGATGAAGCTGCCACACATTATATTGACATGGTAGATCAAACGACCTTAGGGCACCGGTATATCAAGCAGCAGTTCAATGTAACCCCACGAATTGGATGGCAAATTGACCCTTTTGGCCACTCTGCAGTTCAGGCCTATCTCCTGGGTACAGAGGCATGTTTTTTTCGCTCTCTTTATTCATATTCTAAGGATTTGTTTTCTAAACTGATACATCATCACAGTCTATTCATTAGCCATCAATGAACGAGTTTCTTGATTATTTTTTGGTTGAAAGATGTTGAGTATCACATATCACTTGTCTAGTGTCTACTTGTATTTGTCTATTGGGTTGAATATTGACATATAGTCCGTGCTAGTATAAAAGTGTGGGGTAAACCCCACCTCATGAGAATTCTGTTGGCTTGTTTAGGTAGGATTTGACTCTCTATATTTTGGGCGTATTGATTATCAAGATCGAGCAAAGCGGAAAGGTGAGAAGAGTCTTGAGGTCATCTGGAGGGCTTCTAAAAGTTTGGGCGCATCCTCACAGGTATATACATATATTTTGTTTATTCTGACTTGAGTCTGTAATTGAATTTTTTTGTCTATTGGGTCATAAAATATGTTCTTAAACCCATACCCGAGGCCAAACTCATTTGTTTGATTTCTAGACTAGTACCCATTCTGATATGAAATCTGAGTTCTATTGGGTCTGAGTTCAAGTCTTAACATCCCCCATTTTCATTCCATGTTTAGATCCGGATTCATATTTGGGTTGGATTGGCACAACAAAAATATATAGTTCAAAAGTTTTTACATAACCACTCTTCAAATTTTAAAGGCAATCATGATCATTGTCATACTTTGTTATTCCAACATGCCTATTGTAAGGCTTCAGGCTCACTTTTCAAATTTGACCTTTTCAAGTGTAAATGATTTCATACTTCTATGATGCTCCCTATGTCCTATAATGAATTTCCCATTTTGATTTGACATGATCTTTTAAATAGTGAAACCATGTGGCTGTTGTTTATTACGAAGCGAGAGAAAACAAAATGAACCACACAAACTTTTCCTCAAAGGATATGGGAAGAAAATTTGAAGGACAACCAAAAAAACAAAGTTAGAAGAAAATGTTAGGAAAGACAGAGTATCATTTAATTTTTGTAACATATTTGTCCATATTTATCTGGGATTAAATATATTTGATTGTGACCTTTTTCAAAGTTTGAAAAGGGTCCAGATTTGGGTAGGGGGTAAAGAGAATTAAATCCATATCTGCACCCGCAAATTTATGATGGTTACTGATAAGATTCAGTTCCAAACCCGAGGCCTACCCCTCAAGGATTCTTTTGGAAGATTAAAACCCAATTTAACAGAAATCACATTCTAAATATGCAGTACTACCTAGTACCTACAAGCTTTGTTTATTTTTCTTACTTTCTTTTTGTTTTTTTTAATTATGAATTAAGTCTCACACATTTCCTCTTTCATGTCATCTCATTCTTCAGATTTTTGCTGGTGCATTCCCTGAGAATTATGAGCCACCAAGTGGTTTCTATTTTGAAGTCAATGATGACTCTCCAATTGTTCAGGTATATGCTTAGAAGAATGTGGGACACTGGGATTTTGCATGCTTGCTTGCTTTAGATACTGATGAGTTTTTTTTTGGCCAACTGAAGGATGATACCGACCTGTTTGACTACAACGTCCCAGAGCGTGTTAATGACTTTGTTGCTGCAGCATTGTCACAGGTGGAATGGTTATTTTTTTAAAATTTAAATTATGCACTGCAGACTGAACTGCTTGCTAACTATGCATCTTACTACTTCCGTCCCTGAGTATTTGTCCAGTTTTGACTATTTTCGGTCTATTGTTTTCAACCTTTGACCTATAATAAAATAAAATGTATATTGTATATTAATTAGATAAAATATGATTTTGAAAATAGTTGATATAATAAATCTAATAAAATTATTTTTGTACGGTGGGGTTCTAGTGACACCCACGTTCGTAAAAGAAGTCTTTAGCGTTACATATTATTTATGAGAACATTTATTTGCAGGCCAATATTACCCGCACAAACCATGTAATGTGGACCATGGGAACAGATTTCAAGTATCAGTATGCACACACTTGGTTTCGCAATCTGGACAAACTCATTCATTACGTCAATCAAGTTGGTGACCCCATCACTTTAACTCTATTTTGGATTCTTGATGTTTTAAATATGATTGTGTTCATAATTGTACTGGTTTATCTGTTGTTGATATGACAAATGGTGCTATCCGTTTGTAGGATGGACGTGTCAATGCTTTATACTCGACTCCATCAGTCTACACAGATGCAAAACATGCTTCAGATCAGTCTTGGCCTCTTAAGACTGAGGACTTTTTCCCGTGAGTCTCAAAGTTTTAAAATGTTATGATGCAGACATAATAGTTCAGGCTATATTTGGAGCCCAGAAAATGGCAGGGATAGGAATCATTGCCAAATTTTTTACTGTGTAGTTTTACGTTGGAAGATGTATAAATGTCTCTGTTAATCAGATATGCAGACCGTGAAAATGCCTATTGGACCGGATATTTCACAAGTAGGCCAGCCATCAAGGGCTACGTCAGATCGATGAGTGGCTATTATTTGGTTTGTCTTGCAACTTCATGTTTATTGGATAAATAATCTGTTGAAGCCTGAAGGGCATTTTGAAATATAAATAAACCCAAAAAAATCCAACATATAGAAGTTGGAGACTTGAAGCATGAGTCTCAACCTTAAAACCTAGACAATAAAGTTATGAAGTCTACCTCTTATATGGTGGATGATACATGGGATACATTTTCAACGTGGTGTACTTTATGCATGACAGGCAGCAAGGCAATTGGAATTTTTTAAAGGAAGAAATGAGGCGGGACCGACCACCGATTCACTTGGAGATGCTATGGCCATTGCTCAACACCATGATGCAGTTAGTGGAACGGAGCAACAACATGTCGCTAATGATTATGCAAAGCGTTTGTCAATAGGTTACAAGGAGGTAATATTCACTCCAATGTTTCAATAACTTGTGATAGAAAACCTTCCTCTTCACAAAAGAAGAGTTTCATTTTGAGATAAGACTTCATGTAGGCGGAAGATGTGGTTGCAAATACATTGGCTTGTGTGCTTGAAGCAAAATTGAAATCTGGATGCAAGAATGTGGAAACAAAGTTTAGTCAGGTAAATTGCCTCATAATATAGGGATACTTATTACAAATATTATCATGTAGATACTGATTTCCTATGTAATTATGTTTTTATTTTTTATTCTTGATGACATTTTATTTGGGTAGTAACTATGTAAAATGGGGCTCACCTACTTTTTACAATCTTTTCTATAGTTCGAAGGAATTTGGGAGAAAACTTCTTCCCTTTTCTCTCCCATTAATGCTCACCTAGTTCACCTTAACATCACAATGTAATAGTTGCATGTGTTTTTGCCTTTTTACAAGCAACACACATTTCTATCATTCCTCTTTCTACATTAGACATAGTCTTGTCACATCTTTGTGAATTCTCATACACTTTCATTCTTTCTCTCTTCTGTATTTCCCTCAGCCAAACAAAGCATTAAGTAAGCACTTACCATAAACTGTAATTCCAAAAGCCTTTGGCAATCCCTTTCACCCTTCAAATTATACCTATGTTTTGACAAATGGAGGGTTCAGCAGGAACACAAATTTTATTTTTTTTGTTTCCCTTTCAAGGGTACTTATCTTAATTTTGAAGTTAATTGCACATTTTTTAATTTCCTTTGTTTTTTTTGAAAATATTTTGTAATCTAGTTTCTTTGTATATCTGAGAGCTGTTTAGAATTGGTTTTATGAACAATTGATTTTTTTTTTCTCCATGCTATTTTTCGGTTTCCATTAGTATATTGACTCTTTTGCTCTTTTCATTTCAGTGCCCGCTTCTGAATATAAGTTACTGTCCTCAAACTGAAGTTGATTTGTCTCTTGGTAAAAACTTGGTTAGTGCTAATGCATTGTCGGAACAATTTTCAATTTTCATTAGAAATCTGTGTGAAAAAAATGTGAAGGCAGTTGCAGAAACAAATGAGGATGTGATGTACGCAGACCATACCTTGCATTTTGCAAAATGCTGCTTCCAAGACTTAAACCAGTGACCTCAAGGTCACACAAAAAGACCTCAGCCGGTCTGCCAAAGCTCCCTTCACACTTACAAAAAACAGATGTAAAAATCTGTATGAGTCACAGTTGTTTTTTCTCTATGTAGGTGGTGGTTGTATATAATTCTCTAGGATGGAAGAGAACTAATGTTGTGAGAATCCCTGTAAGTGAACCCTATTCCTATGGATTCTCAGATAGACATTTTATTACGGAGTATATTTTATATGATTGAATGATTGATATTCTTACATTTGTAATGGTTTTACTTTATGAAGTTGGCTTTTACTCTTATATTGCACCAATTTCCTATTAGTTGCTAGAGAATCCTTTTGACACCTACATTTCCTCAGAAGGGTAAGTTTGGATCCTGGAAAATGTTAGGGAAAGGAGAAAAAAAATTGGGGAAAATAATTTTCTTATAAATGCAAAGGGAAAGGAACTAGGATGAGATTTTTATATTATTATTTTTTATACATGTATTTAAATTTTTCAGTCAATATAATATACTCAAGTGATGAAAATGAGTATAAACAAATGTGAAATATCGAACATAAGTTTTTTCTAGTTTTAGGCTATCTTTTACTTTCTATCACATATTCACATTTTAGTTCCTTCCAACTTTCCTGGGGGTTCCCTTCTATTTTCTATAACTGAGGTCTTGAGCTTCGTCTAATATTCCTAGGATCTATGAATTACTTACTCCACTAGGGATTACAATATTACATCACCTTTTAAGTAAAGGTTTCCCCTCCTAGGAGTCAAACCTACAACCCATCTAGGCTATCTTATAATAATTTCTTGTGTGCTTTCCTGTCTATTTTCTTCCCCCCCCCCCTGTATATTTCTGGTTCCAAACAACCCAAAAAATGCTAGAGAGCGAATTAGGGAGGAAAACTAAATGGAAGTTTGGAAGGAAAGACATATATGGAGAAAAATAAAAGATTGTTTCAAACTTAAAGAATCAATTTTGGAAATTTGTTCAAACTCATTTGTTCACATAATTATATATTTCTATTAAGTAAGTACCATGAAATATAAATAAGTTTAAAAATCTAAAACGGTCTAATCGAATTTGAATTTCCTTCCTATTTACCAAGGTAGTACCTTATAGGAAATGCACTTATTAGTTGGAAAACATGATGCAGGTGAGCAGTGAAACTGTTGCCGTTTGGGATTCCACTGGAAAAGAAATAGAATCACAGGTTTTACCTGTATTAGATGCCTCAATGTCCCTGAGGAAATACTACGCTAAAGCTTATGTTGGCAAATCCTCAAATACTAGGACATTATATTGGCTTGCATTTACTGCAACGGTTCCACCGTTAGGTTTCACCACATATACGATCACCAGCAGTAGACATTCTGGTTAGCTCCCAACGACCACCATATTTACTCTTATTCCCTCTGGCCAAAAAGAAAAAAGAGGCATGTTTGGTCAAGGCACAACTGTTTAATTTTTACAAGGCGCAACTTATACAAGTCAAAGAATCCTGCTTATATTTTCAAAATTTAATTTTTGGTTCAAATCAGTGTATCATATTGAACATGTCTCTAACTTCAAATTTTTTGTAACTTCAATTTTTTTGTCAAGGTTCAATTCTAAAAGTCACGGATTCGTACTTATGTGAAATTGACACATTGTGTACCACGACCTTCACATAAGTACAAGGGTACAATGTGAGTTTAGAAAAATATGGGTCTACCAAATAGAAAATGCAAAAGTATAGGGATACCATGCATAATATTCCAACTTGCTTGCTAAAAAAGAGTCGTGTTTTATCAAATGAAGATGATATTTCAAGTAATTTTGCTAAATTTGTTAATGGCCAAAACAAATGAAGATGATACAAGCTTAATGCTATAATTTGCGTTTGACTATAAAAGCATATAGGTATCAATTATGATTTATAATACTTGTGTCATGTCAAAAATATAATTAGTTTTACCCAGACAAAAAAACTTATGAGACAAAAGAAGTATATAAGATGGTTAACAAATTGTTTCCCCCACGGATCACAAATATCATCATCATTGTTGTGTTATTGTTGTTGTTGTTGTTATTATTATTATTATTATTATTATTATTATTATTATTAAAGTTGCAGCTAAAGCTAAGGAGACAAATCATCAATTAAGTATGCATCAAAATGATGTCATAGTAGCAGGGCCCGGCAACTTGAAACTAATGTTTTCTGGAAATGATGGAAAACTTGCTAAATTTGTTAATGGCCAAAACAAGGTAAAGTGAACTAGAAAAGTGAATTTAGTTTTATACCTACAAAGTTTTTGATACATGATGATGAAAGTGGATATTGCTTTTCTTTATTTTGATCAAAGGTTAATGCTGATGTGTCACAATCATACATTTATTATTCTGCTGATGATGGTAGCAAGGATAAGGATAGGGACCACTATCAGGTGGCATTTTCTTCAAATCTTTATTTATATTTTATGTAGTCTCTTTGATTCAGTTATTTACTAAGGGACTATTATATTCTTTTAAAGGCCAGTGGAGCATATATATTTCGCCCAAATGGCTCATTTGCATTGAGCAATGAAGGAAAGGTAAAAGAGTCATTTTGGATCCCTAAATTAATGTGTGTAACATACTTAATCTCTAAGATGTTGTGTATTGACGTATTAGGTCCCCCTTAAAGTTTTACGTGGACCTCTTTATGATGAAGTTCATCAAACAATAAATTCGTGGATTTACCAGGTAAATATTTAATCCGATATTCTGTTAACTATTGAAACTTTGAGGGTATGCTTGGATCCCACAAAATGTTTTGAAAAAGGAAAATAAGATGTCAACCAGCGGAGTAAAAAGAGTCATTTTTACTAGGTTTTTAGCTTCATGTAAATAATGGACTAAATCAAAATGTCATTTAAAACTTCCCTTGCTTCTTACTTTCTATGAAGTCTTGGACAAAAGTTGCAGCTATGAAACAACCTCTCTTTTTTACACGAATAAAGCTGTGTACATTTTGACACCCTAGACCCCAATAGCATTGGGATTTGGGATTATAATGGATAGCTTTTTTTGAGTATCAACAAACATCTAAAATAAATTTATTTGAGTTTCATCCTTTCTTTTAATTTCCCCCACATCTTTTCCTTTCAATGTTCCTTTATGCTTTCTTGCAGATAATTTTCTGGGTTCCATACTGACTTTTAAATTCACATTCTTGGGATTTTATTTTCCTGTCTTTTATGCCGATTTATCCAAAAGAAAAATAACAGCGGTAGTATTGTGATTTTAGTATATCAGCCTTTCAAATGCCATTTACTTGCATCGTTGAACTTTTTGTCTCTTACTCTCTTTCTCAAAACACATGGGCAGATTACAAGAGTTTACAAGGAAAAAGAGCATGCTGAAGTTGAGTTTACTGTGAGTGAATTTAATTCATAATTACTAGTCATGTTATTTACAAACTTATCAAATGAAAGAAGAAAATTCAAGTATTCCTCTCATTAGAAATCCCGAATTTCAGATTGGCCCCTTACCTATTGATGATGGAATAGGGAAAGAGGTTGTGACCCGGATTACAACTGACATAAAAAGTAACAAGACATTTTATACCGATTCTAACGGGCGCGATTTCCTTGAAAGGGTATATAATGTCATTGATTCATGTTCCTCTTGCTTGAATCATTCTCATAGATGAGTATGAGCACCTTGATAATTTTGCAGATTCGGAACTACAGAGTTGATTGGGATCTTCAAGTGAATCAACCGGTTGCAGGAAATTATTATCCGGTATGTTTTTAGCAACTCGATATCTTCCCTACAAGCAAGTTTAGTATTACAAGATTTAATCTAGTAGTTTATTCATTATATATACCGTTCAGAAAATAGTTAATGCTAATCTCAGCTAGTCTATGAAGTGATTTGCTATTTTTATGATTATATTTGTTGTAGCATCTCACCTTAGTTGCCAATTGAGTTCCAGTCTAGTAGACAAGTGTGAGATAAATCTCATATCTTGAGGATCATTTTGGTGAATTAAGTCCAAGTTAATATAGTATCAGAGCCTAGTTCATGGTATATTGGTATCTATGGTGCTCATCCACTCCGCAGTTTGGGGCAGCCCATTTGACTGTTGCTCATCAATTCTGTCCCATTTATCCACCCCTTCAGTTGTCAAACCCATCTTGGTTGAGAGGGAGCGTGTTTGGGTATCCTACATCAGTTGTCTATGGGTTTGAGTCTAATCTAAAGTATGGGTGTGAAATAAACTTTCCTGAGAATCTCAATGAATTAAGGTGGTGTTTGGGAACTAACATTTCATTTCAATTCTTGCATTTCAGTTCTAAAATTTGAAATCTTGAATTCCAAATGACAAGGGGAGGCATATGAATTTGCAATTGAGCTTTGTAATGAATTAGTGTTTTCCATCATCTTCGATGGAGCCAAAATTTCACCTGTTTTTGGCTTTGGGGTGTGATGGAATAAATCAAAATGGATATCTAAACTATTTGCGCTTCTTTAATTAATGAAGTAGCAGTTAGTCAAGCAATGCAACTTTTGACGTTGAGCCGGGGGTCTCTTTGGAAACAGCCTCTCTACTTTCGAGTAGGGGCAAGGTCTGCGTACACACACCCTCCCCAGACCCTACTCTTGTGGGATTTAACTGGGTTGTTGTTGTTGTTGTTCTTTGTAATGAATTAGTGGTTTTCTTGGGGACATGGATTTGGATTTCAAAATCTGGATTTGGCTCAAATTCCATGTTTGGAAAACTTAAAAATTTTGGATTTGAGTCAGATTCCTCTCATTCATAACAATGCGCAATTTGAAATCCATACACCTCCCCTTGTCATTTGAAATTCAAGATTTCAAATTTTGGAACCGAAATGTGTGAGTTGAAATGAAATGCTAGTTCCCAAACACTACCTACAAAAATTTGCCTCAAATCCAAATCCCGATTTTTTAACATTTCCCAAACATGAAATTTGAGCCAAATCCGCCAGTTCTCAAACATGCCTTAAGTGAATGTAACAATTTTGTTCTCAAATGCTCTGATCTAAAATGTTTTAGGCGGCATAGGTGGCATTATAGGGCTTAGCACCTAGGTAAAACACAGGCGGAAAGTCTAGCACCTAGGAAAAGACTATATATGCACATTGAGGCATGTGTGTTAGCTATGATGGGTATGTCCATATGACATTAATTGAAGTTCTAATTCTTGGATAGCCATTCTAATTCTTACATCAGACAATAAAGGTTTGTTTTGAATACAAGGGTTCATACAACTCCATTCGTGTCTTTTTGGGATATTGTAAAAACAAATCAGTCCGGGTTTGACCCAAAACACAATAACAAAGTTTTGTTGAAGTTAAGGTGTGTTTGTCCTTACAGTCTGATTCAGAATCTCGAACACATTGTTTTCCATGAGATGAGAACTTATCTATTTGGATTTGATGTGTGACAATAGTTTCATGGTCCTTTCAGATCAATCTTGGAACATACATAAAGGATAGCAATACCGAGCTCTCGATCTTGGTTGATAGGTCTGTGGGAGGCTCGAGCCTTATTGATGGCCAATTGGAGCTCATGCTTCATAGGTAATGTATCCATATCTAGCTACTTTACCGCTATTATTATAATTATTATTACTCCCTTCGTCCGCCATAGATCTTCCCGGACTAACTTTTTGTGGTTTTTAAGGAGAGTTGAAAAAAGTGGATGTTTACTAAAAATCTAAAATACCTTTGATGAAAGTGGTGGAGTATATTAAATGAGGTGGTTGAGGTGTAATAAATAAAGTGAGGATAGTTGAGGTATTTTAAATGTTAAAAAAAGGTAATGAGAAGGTCTTTCCCAGACAAATAAAAAGAGCATTTGGGAAGATATATGGCGGACGGAGGGAGTATTATTATTAATATTGCCTTTTCAACTAAATTGGACTTTTTTTTGGAAAGGTGTCATGAAAATTAGAAATTTGTTTTGTTTTTTTAATGGCTCCTTCTGGGGACAACAAAGTTTCTATAATGTTTTTGAATAAGATTTGTTTGGGATTTTTTTTAATATCACAAGTTTGAAATGAAATCTTCATTTTTCTTCTTTTGTAGGAGGTTGCTTCATGATGACGGTAAAGGTGTTGGTGAAGCACTGAATGAAACAGTGTGTGTTGCAGACAAGTGTGCAGGATTAACGGTAACCAAACCACTAGTAATCATTTCAATGTTAAATTATGAACTTTGACTATGTACTTTTTAAAAATTAACGCACACTTCTTTCCTTTCATATCTATTCTCTTATATCCAACAACAAATAAAATTCCTTCTCTTTCTCATTTTCGTGTTTCTTCTCAAAATCTCGTCTCTTTTTTTATGTCTTATTCTCTTCTCAACCAAACAAAGCCCAGCATGAGTGTAATCAAAATGATTGAATGGACTAGTTTATCTAACAATGTACATATTTAAAAGGGTTTTTTAATTAGTTAAAAGAAACAGTTTCTGGAATACGATGGTAAATGGTTCATTTTTTCTTTCAGGTCAGTGGGAAATTTTATGTAAGAATCGACCCTCTCGGAGGGGGAGCTAGGTGGCGCCGGTCCTTTGGACAGGAGATATATTCCCCGTTTCTTTTAGCATTTTCTGAGCAGGTTTTAGAATGACTTCAACCTTCTTCTATTTTTTCCTCACAGAAAGTCTCATTCTTCCCTAATCCTTACTTTGTAGGCCACAAATGAAGGGATGAAGTCTCAAATCTCAACATTTACCGGGATTGACCCTTCCTATAGTCTTCCTGATAATGTTGCAATCATCACACTACAGGTATCCCTACCTTAATATGGAGTATATGTGGGGATGAAAAAATTTATCTTTTCTCCTAATTGCCCTTTTTTGTCTGATAATTGCAGGAGCTTGAAGACAAGACCGTTCTTATACGATTGGCACATTTGTACGAGGTTGGTTTTTTCTCTTTTACAATATATGCACCACTTTTGAGTATATTTGACCTAAGTCAAGCCGAGCCTGAGCTCCACAGATTTGAGCTTGACTCGACCCTATTTTGAGTCTGGCTTGAGTGCGGAAGTGTCAAGCTCAAGTGGCTCACAAGAGCAAGATGTAAGTGTGTAATACACAATAGGAGTGAAATGACAATTATGTCCAAATATGATTCCAAATGGAGATTTGAGTCGAGTTTGCCTGACTCATGTGTGAATGTTACTATGTGGCAGGTGCCCGTTTGGCAACAATACCTCAGCGAATTGAAAAGTATATATAATGGCAGCATTTAGCTTTAGCATTTACAAAGTTAATGTGTACTCAAAATGCTAACTTTAGCATTTACAAAGTTAGGGGCCCGTTGGAACCTGAAAACTCCAGGGAAAGAAAACAGGGAAGGAATATACAATAGAAATTTGGAAGGAAACGTGGGGGGGGGGATAAAACATCCGCTCAAATTCAATATGTTTATTTTGTATTTGTTTGAACTCATTTTAATATTTATTTCAATTTCATAAAGATTAAGAAAGCTAAACATATGTAAAACTTTTCTATAACTCCAGTTTTGTGTTTTGATTATAGGCTGGAGAAGACAAAGATCTATCAACTATAGCCACTGTAGAGTTGAAGAAACTGTTCCCCAGCAGGAAGGTAAAACACAACAAATGTTCCTGCAGTTTGCCTAATACTCTCTCTTTTCAAAATAAACTTCATACTTTTCTTTTTCGGGCCGGTTCTATGGCCACTGCTTTTGAGTGGCCACGGAAGCCACTACTCCGATTCGGATACTTACTATGCTCCGTTCGTAAAATTGATGATTCCTACCCCTAACCCCCCGGTAAACCCCCCAGTCCCGACCCCAACCCATCCCCCACCCATGTCAATTGCACCCCGCAAGTTTAGTTGACTTTAAAGTAAAAAAATTGACTTTAAAGTCAACTAAACTTGCGGGGTGCAATTGACATGGGTGGGGGGATGGGTTAGGGGTGGGACTGGGCGCGGAGTTTACTGGGGGGAGGGGGGTAGGGGGTAGTAATCATCAATTTTATGAACAAGGCAGTGGCTTCTGTGGCCACTCCAAATGAATGGCCAATGAACCTAGCCATTTTAAGGAATGTGTGGCTCACACCATTTCTTTTTTCTTCTTAACAAATTATGACCATACACTTTTCTTAAACGCCATGAAATTTATTTTGGGATGGAGGAAGTATAGCACAAGTAAACAACACATCCTTCAAAATTGTGTTTGCAGATAAACAAAGTTAAGGAAACTAGTTTAAGCGCCAACCAAGAACGCGAAGAAATGGAAAAGAAAAGGCTAATATGGAAAGCCAACGGCGGGTCTTCTGAACAATGGCATTCATCTAGAGGTTGTCCTCTAGATCCCGTAAAGTTGATCGTGGAACTCGCCCCAATGGAGATCCGCACCTTCGTGGTCGAACTTGGCTCAAGATTATCTATGAAAGTGTAAGACAAATCATCTTTACTTGAGCCTAGTAATGCCTACTTGGGCTTACTCATGGTAAAGTTAATCCAAGTCTAGACCTGTTAGGCTAGTCGAAAAATAAGAAATAACACGCAGGACTAGGGATGACAAACGGTCGGGTTCAAGTCGGATTTTGATACTTAATATTTGGGCACAATATTTCAACCTGAACCCGACTAGAGTAATACGGAGTAATATGTTTTGTAAATTTTCAAATTTACTATATCAGTTTTTTAATAAAATTACGAAGTACATAAAAGTTTAATTGTTATTCAATAGTGAGCATAAAATGCACAAGAAATAAGATTTGATCGGGTCAACAAGGCTCTAATACCATGGCCGAAATTTGCAAAATATCTGCATGAAACCCGAAGTGAAAATAACATGATAGTTGTGAGACCAAACGTGGAATGTTGGACCATGCTACAATGGTACCAAGTTTGACAGCAAGTTTGACACCATTGGTGACTTCGCTGCATCTCACAAATAGATGTACATATATAGTCATGTGTGAGACACAGTGATGCATGTCATCAATGATGTCAAACCCAAGTGTTATAATACGGAGTAGCATTTTTTGTAGAATGTTTTTTTGTTGTAATTTCTCTTGTTTTTCGTTCAGGACGAATCCACATTTCTTTCTCAAGTAAATGTTTGGCGAGATGAATGCTGTGGGAGTTAGCTAAGGCCTTTGATGTCCATCTTCATGTAATTATAGTTTATGCACTTGCTTGAAAAACTACAATAATGTCTGTAAATTCTCTCCTTTTGAGCTTCAATAATAAGAAAGTGAGTTTTTTAAATAGTGATTAAATAGTGAAAACTACAATAATGTCACAAGGCCAAGGAACAAAATAGAA